AGGAGAGCCTGGCGTGCTCTGGTCCATGGGGTCACGAAGAGTCGGGCACGACTTAACGACTAAACAAGAACCAAATGTACTGACCATACTTTGTTCCTTTAAATTCTTTTAAAAAGTTCCTTGGAGACAATGGGTGCTCAGTTAAAGAAAACTTACCCCTCCCCACAAGCAGCCCTTTTCCTTCAAATATGGCAATCACAGCTGAAAGTGGAGAAAAGTGACACCAGACAATCAATGCAAATTTAAACCATCTCTGCCAACTGAACAAAAAGGGATAATCCTCCACTCAAAAGAGTTGATTCCATACCGATCTTCCCCACATTGAGGTTTATGCTGTGTAGTCACTGTATTTTAATCTGAATTCATCTGTGCCCAATCAGATCCAAATTGTGGGGTTAACAACTAATGCAGACATAATCTGAGAAACAGTTTACAACCATCCTGAAATATATACCACTGCAGGTCACAAATATGACTTAATTAAATTTCAAGCAAAAAGTTCACCAACTATACTTCGTGTAGCAACAACGAAACATCAACTTCAGGTTTTCACCTCTAACCAACCTGCCATTAAATCCAGTGTTCAATAGTACATGGAAGGTGAAATCAAATTAAAAACAACAACCATGTTTTAAAAGAATCATCATCATCAAACAGAGTAAGTCTAGTACAGTGGGGAGACCCTTGTCATTATGTCAAAATACTGGATACTTCTGCTGATCTCTGGGGCAGCTTTAATTTGCATCCCAAGGAAGTGAAGAAAATGCTAAAGCTCTCAGTCAGCCTCCTTTTTATAAACTGTAGGAGAAAGCCCAGGAATAGAACTGGCGCTGGTTAGAACAGGACCAGGTAAATACTAAGGTTGTGGCACTTAGGTGAAAAATCCATGGGAAAGTATACTGAGAATTAAGGCTTTATCAAAAAGACCCACTGAGCTCAGGAATTGTTTTCCTAGAACTGAGCACCATTTTCTTAATTTTGGCTTAATTTAAAGAAAAATAAGCTTATGGAATGTTTGTTTAACTCCAAACTTCCATAAAAAGCATTTTTATGTAGAAATAAGTGTACTGTGAAGAGAAATAAAGTACACAAGTGATAAGCACTACAACAAAAGAAGAGCAATATGTTTCCCATATAACATTATTCAACAAACCAAGCAAGGGAGAAGAGATTTCCCTTTTGCTTTAGAAATGAAACCAGACAACATTCAAATTCAGAATGGTTATTTATTCCTGTGAGGCCAGGATACAGATTTCCTTTGTTCATCCATTGCCAGCAATAGACAAACCATACATATTGGAGCTAAACAACATTAAGGGTATCAACCCATAAATGGTTAGCTTGCTTCTTTACAAGTCAAAATATGTTGTGAAAAAGCAGACACAAGCATTTAATAAAATTACAGCTAAAATAAAAGCAGCTGTACATGTTTGCACCACTTAAAGTTACGTTACAGATCCTATCAGCATTCTTAAGGCTAAATGCCTCTGTTCACAAGATGGAAAATGCATTCATCAGTACCCTATCTTAATTAATTTTCCTGAACTGTAGAATTAAGCATGCTTGTAATAAAGTTTTAATCAATATCAAACACATAATGACATGTCTGCTACCATATATGAGAAAACATTTTTCAGATGCTTCTTCATCTGAAACCATTCACAAAGCCATCTGTTTACGTATTTGCAAGCCATTAAAGGTGCCCTTTGCAAACTGATCAAGCATTTAAAAACAGAGTTACAGTTCTAGACACCATTTTACAATGGATGTGAATTTATATGCCATAAACTAATACAAAAATACATTTTAAAATTACAAATTACCTGAATAAAACTAGTAAATAATAAAAAAAAAGTTGTGTTAGAGCTTTTGTCCAATCACTAATAAGGTAATCAGCGCAGCCATATTGTATTTAACTGTGTCTGGTTTTTTATACTTGTGTCCATTTTTAGCACTTCTCGTATGGCCATTGTGGCGTAAGTAGATGGTGGAAGGGAGAATTCCATCTTCAGAGCTTTGTATTTGCCTTCTGTCATTAAAAAAAAAATCAGCATAACTATCATTTGCCAAACGAAAGACTTCCTTCCTGAAAGTAGGATCATCATCAAACTGGTCTGATATTTCTTTGGTTATTTCTGTCACTCCCAATAACTTAATGTGAAACACATATGGAAATGTACTGCCAATTCCCTCCTATGGGATCTCAAAGCCTACTTTAAGGATCTTAAAACCCAGTAGCAGTAATGCCTTCATTATTCATTCCAAGACATAAAATCCAGCCTGGGTGATATTTGCAATGAAATGTGGAGTCTTTCCCACTGCAAGAATTCCAAGGCACATCCATTTGTTTAAACGTGGGAGAGATTCTTTACTGAAAAACTGACCTCCTGGATAGGATTCTACACCTTAGATGGTAGAAGCGGTAATGAAAGAATGTGCATTGCTTCACAAATGCTGCCAGTACAGGAATTAACACATTTCCACAGTAGCCCACCCATTGACTAACCACTGTAATTATCTTAAATATACCCACATCTTACTGTATAACCACCCTACATTCCCTTCTGTGCCCTGAAATGACTGTATAAGGAATAAATGTTTGGAGATGACACACATTCGTGGCAAGTGAAGCTGCCCTTGTATTTTCAGAAAACTGGTCAATAATTAGTTTTCCTGTTGCAGAAAGGTTAAAGGGACAAAATATTGAGGGCTTTCCTTAATGGCCTTGCCTTTGCTAACAATTTTCTCTATCTCTTCAAACAGCCCAACTCACACACTCAGCATCATTTATTTCTAGCAAGCTGCCTCCCATTAACTAGGCCTACAGTATTATTATTTGATCATCTATGGGGGAGGGGGAGGACTAATTGTCAGCCCAACAAAGTTTAGCAACAAGCCATTAGATTTGCAGAAAACAATTCTAATGAATGTATAAAATGTCATGCTTTAAATGCTTACCTGTTGCAAGGACAGCAGGTAGTTTTCCTTCCAGTTTGTCCAAGTCAGTAGTAAATAATGGAATTTTAGGGTCGTCGTATGTGACCAAGTCCCTTTATAAAGCAGAACATCGTTTCAAATCATATAACATGGATGAGAACTGCAGAGAATAATCTATTTTCCAAATCAAGAATAAGATCTCACCACTCCAGGATACTGTGGTGTAAAGTAGCAGAACAGGTGATAAAAATAACTCTCCATATCTATGCCTAAAGACTCTATACATATTTTTGAGTACTGAAATATGCCAGAAGACTGCAATACTATCCTTGTCCATTTAGTTCCTGTTGATACCAACTGGATTAGCTCAAGCAGCTTTACAGTCCTGCACCTAAATTTTATTTGTCTGTTAAATGTGAGTACATGGTTTTTAAACTCTGTTTATACTGTGCAGCATCTTCATCTCACCATACTTAGAACATCTATGTCCACATTCAATTGAGGAAGCTTGTTCCTGTAGCTTGCAGGCTGCAGTGCCAGAACCACAGCATGAAAGTTTCTCTGTGCAAAATCTGAAGTAGGAAACTCCGGGAAGCCCTAGAAATGTTTAAAACCACCTAATCTTTTGTAAAACATTAAAATCAAGAAGTGTCCAAACAGATCCTTCTGGTATTGACATTTGTTTATATTTTATATGAAAACAGTAACAAAATTCATTGCTCCACATTTATAATTCAAACTTCCCTTCAATTACTTTTCCCCCCAATCCTGGAGGGAGTGGTTCCATGGGGACTTACTGCAAACTCTAAAACTGTTCTAGAGGCAGGTTGCATTCAACTTGTAGCTGAAATTTTGCCCATCCCAGCATAAATATACAAACCAAATAGTTCTTTCGTTAGTATCCTGTACATTGTTTCCTTACCAGCTCACATTCTGAGGTCTAATGATAATCTTTCTGTATGCTCCGGATAATGAATAGTCTCGAATTTTATGTTTCATGTTACTGATGTCCAGATTGTCCGCAGCTAGCATTTCCTTGTAAGCTTCCCCAACTGCCACAAAGGGATACAGAATTAAATGTAACCAAGGGTAGGCAATTATTCCTAAATTTGCCTAAATTTTGCTGTATGAGCAAAACGTAACCTAAAAGTATAGAAGAGATTATTTATATTTCTAATTTGAAGATTTTCTTTATCAGTATCTTTAATCTATACATCTACAAACTGGAACAGAAAAACTGGTTCAGAATAAAAACCATCCTTTTACAGTACTTTAAAATAGTATTCTTACTTTTATGTTTTGGATAGATAACGTCAAAACCAGGTAATGGCATCACAACATCATGGATGGTGTAACTGTCAGCTTCTCCTTCTTCAATATAAACAGCTGTACCTAAGAATGTAAAGGAACATTTTCTAGCATCATAAAGCTGTGCTAATCATCCCAACCACTTATTTTAAAGAAATCTGTTTTTGGAAACATATCTTGTATGTCAGCTTTTTGACCTCTTTAAAGACAGACAAAGGGCAAACAAAGAATTTCAAACATCACATGGATTAAGAATTGGACAACTTGCCTATTACAAAAATTCACATGGTGAAAAAGAGACTGTGACAAATAGATTACCCCATCCCACTCCCTGCATTAGATAGATCGATACTGTACCCTGTTTCCTTGAAAATAAGACATGGTCTTATATTAATTTTTGCTCCAAAAAAGCATTAGGGCTTATTTTCAGGAGATGTTAAATTTTTTCATACACAACAATCTACATTTATTGAAATACTGTCATGTCATCTTCTTCTGGTTGCTGCACAATGGTGGAGGGCGGGATTTCATTTAACTGGGGCTTATTTTTGGGGTAGGGCTTATATTACCAGCATCCTGAAAAATCATCCTAGAGCTTATTTTCAGGTTAGGTCTTATTTTAGAGGAAACTAGGTAGGTAGGTAGGTAGGGAGGTAGGGAGGTAGGTAGGTAGGTAGGGAGGTAGGGAGGTAGGTAGGTAGGTAGGGAGGTAGGGAGGTAGGTAGGTAGGTAGGGAGGTAGGGAGGTAGGTAGGTAGGTAGGGAGGTAGGGAGGTAGGTAGGTAGGTAGGGAGGTAGGGAGGTAGGTAGGTAGGTAGGGAGGTAGGGAGGTAGGTAGGTAGGTAGGTAGGTACTCCTATTTCAATGGAAATGACTAAAGTACAGTCCAGGCACACACATCTGCTAAACTATATAAGTCTTACACTGCCCAACTGCTAGCGTAATAGTTAAGTTCTATCATTCCCCACTCTCCCTGTAGCCTTCAGTACCATCTGAAAACCTAGTTTCCTTGCATGCCTGAATAGGTTTTCAGGGCAAATGGGGACACCACAAGGAGAATTACATCTCTCTGGGTTCCAAAGATGGAAGCAGTTCTTTCTATAAAACAAGACCACTGGATTCCAGCAAGCCTCTATGAGACTATGCTAGAGGGTGTGATCAGACAGGCATGTGCCCTGTGGACTGGTCTTCTTTGGGGATGAGCTGCTTTACTCCTTTTTCTGGTGATTACATGACACACAGGCATTCACAAACCAGCATGTCCCTTATCCTTGCATGCCCACACTTTCTGTGGTCTCTGCCAGGGGCTACTGTTATTTGATGTGGGTAGGATCACTTTGTTTGGTTCAGTTCTGGCATGTGTGAATGCCGGGATTAAATCAAAGCAGATTGCTGACCCACTTCACTTTAAGTCTCAGAATCACCCAGATAACATGGTATAAAAAGTTACTTTTCCAAGCTTCATCATTCACCCTTACATGAATTATAAAATATAAACACTGTAAACACTTTACCTCCTTTTAATATAAGATCTCCAGGTACAGCTTTAAGCCCATATTCTTCTATTCTTTTGCTCACCATGTTATTCCACACATAACTCTGATAGCTATGAATATACATCAAACGATTATTTCTTGGTATCTGTAATAAAGGAAAACAGTATTACTCTACCAAAAATAATTTCACTTTCTAGTTAACCTTACATTAATTCTGACTAGCAAAGCCTATCTCCATTTCAATGGGTCTACCACAGATGGTATCAACACAGGATGTAGCCTATACAGGACAAAGCAGATAGAAATTGATTCTGTTAATTTCTTTCTCTTAACATTCTAGAACAGGGGTCTTCAAACTATGGCCTGCGGGCCACATCTGGCCTGCCCTGTGTTTTTGTTCAGCCCAATTAGTAGGCAGGCAGGCCGGCAGGCATGCATGCGGGTGGGCAGGCGTGCACACGCATATCTTCCTTTGGCCCTCAAAATTATGGAGCATATATGATGCGGTCCTCTTGCTGAAAAGTTTGGAGACCCCTGTTCTAGAACAATGGTTCCCAACCTTGAGTAACCCAAATGTTCTTGGACTGCAATTCCCAGAAGTCTTCACCACCAACTGCACTGGCCAGAGTTTCTGGGAGTTGCAATCCCAGAACACCTGAGCTACCCAAGGTTGGGAGCCACTAATCCTAGTACCTGAGAGCAGCAATGAAACAGAGTCAATTTCTACTTACAATCTAACATAGAAGAGACATTTGACTTTAAGAAATAGAAAAGGAAACCAAGTAAGCTATTAAGTATATTACTGGTAAATATATGCACTTGTTTAGAGACATGCAACTTTCTCACACACAGTTCTCAAAGCAACTTACAATACAGTGGTGCCTCGACTTACGAGCGCCCCTACCTATGAAAATTCTGAGTTATGAAAAGCTCTGGCCGCAAAATTTTGCTTCAACTTGCGGCCGGAGCTTTGACCTAAGAACAGAAAAAGATAGGGGAAAAGGGTGGGAAATTCAAACCGTTCGTGGCGAAGAGGCTGCTTCTCTGTAGCTCTTTCGCCCCAACGGCTAGAGCAGGGGATCAGGGAATTTTTTACTCCTACAGGGCAGGAGGAGGAAGGAGAGGCGGGGGCAGCTCTGGATCGCTGCCGGGCACAGGAAGCCGGTGCGCTCCCTGCCCATCTCTGGTGCTAGTGTACTCATGAGTAAGGCCCGCCAAAGGCACAGGTCTACTCACAAGGGCTGCTAAATGCACAGGTCTACTCATGAGTAAGGCCCTAGAAGGTGTGGGTCTACTCATGAGTAAGGGCATCCAAAGGCGCTGGACTGAGGCATGCGGGTGGGAGGGGTTCCTCTATGGATGGGGCGTGTGGCGGCGGCGCAGGGGGAAGATTAATTTAAACATATACCTGAAAAATAACAGAAGGGCCCCTTTATGATTTATAATAATTTATTTGATTTTATCTCATCTTTATCCCCTGATGGGAGCCCAATACAGTGTACAACATTCTAAAATAAAAAAGTATTAAAACAAATTGATTAAAATGTAAAACTACGGTACACAAATGTTTTAAAACCATTATTAAGAAGTTATTAAAAAATTAAAAACCTTCCCCTCTCCGTTACCTGCTGACTCCCCAAAAGCCTCTTAAAGAGGCATGTTTTCAACTGTGGGAGGAAGGAAAGGAGAGAAGGGACCAACCACACTTTGTGAGGGAGTCAGCACCATAACCTGAGACCTGCCACAGAACAAGCTCTCTCTTGGGTCCTCAGCAGACATGTTTGTGAAATTGGTGGGACTGACAGAAGGTGCTCCCCTGAGGATTTTAATAAATTGGAGGAGGGGGACTCGTACAGGAGATACAGTTTTTCAGAGTGCTCCCTACTGTATTAATGTCATTACTATTCACTGTATTAAGCTATAAACTCTAATAAAAATATTGATAGGAGGAATAAGTCTGTTTCTAGGCAAAATGTGTCAGTGGTTCATTAATGGATTTGCCTTTACTCCTATCTTCCTAGGGACTTGCAGAGAAGTTCAGAGAATGCCTTCAAACCATCACCACAACACTTCACACTCACTATGCCAAACGCAGAGACTATATTCTTCAGTCCATACTTTGAAAGTCCCCAGAGCAACTGTCCTTCCACACATCTTTTCATAGGCAGTTTCTTGAGAGCTGCAACTGGATCTTTCGTTTTTGCCCATTCTTCTCGGCATTTTACTAGATATCCCTTTTCAGCTGCAATAAAAATTGGCAAACAAGGTCAACATTTTTAATCATAAACACTAACAGGTTTCAGGAGAAAAAGAATACTAGAGCCACAAGAAGAGATCTAAGACAATAGTATTCACAAACATTAAACCCTTATCAACCAGTTTCAGAATCTTCATCTGTTTCAGCTAATCTCCTAGAACAGTGACAAATGCGTTATATAGCAAAACCAAGATGAGTTCCCACTGAGGACACTACCATTCTATTTCTATGTTGCCTTCTTTCTTCTTTACTTGTACCAGAACATTTCACAGTTCAAAATTATGGAAATATAAAAAATATAAATAAAATTCAAACAAATTAAAGTATTAAAATGATTAGACTATTTTTACTAGAAGTGGGGCTCCTTCAAAAGTGTTGTTATGGCCTTTTACTAGATCTTCTTTTGTACACGTGGTGGGGCGGCATAAACTGCATGCACATAAACGCTGCATTGATTTACAACAAATTTCTCCTGTAAACAATTAGCCCTGTTTTACTTGATTATTCTTTGATCTCTGTACTTTGCTTCAAAGTGACTTCCAGGTGGTCCAGCTAGAATCTCCTCCTGGTCGGAGACACTCTTTGGCATTCATCCATTTTTCAGGGTGTGTTGTTTTTGCTCTCCATAGGTTTAAACATAGCCTCTTCTGCTTTAATATTTGGAGCTTGAGAGGTGTGCAGAAATCGTTTCCTCAATGTTAGCCATCATTTAAGGGACTGATGTCCATGAAGTGGACAGGTTTGGTGCTGTATTGCTTTATTTCACTGATTATTTGCTAGCGTTTCTCGATGTACTTCCAGAGGGTAATCCCAGCCAAATAAATAACGTTTTCATTGGGGGTAGGTCAAAGGCAGAGAGTAATAATCCTACATGATTAATTAACAGCTATATCTACTTCTCTGGTATATGCTGATTTATACCATATGGCACCAGCATATTTTGTTGTGAAGTTAGCACAGGAATAAAGTTGTTGTTTTTGATGTTTACAGATGTGCATCCCAGTCTGACCCAGCCAGTTTCTAAAGTATGCTATTTCTGGCAGCAACTTTCTGTTTGGTGTTTAGATTATTTTTTTTTTTATTTTATTTTTTTTGGTAGCACAAGGTTCAATCCAGAGCAACACCCAAATATTTTGGGACAGGGCAATGTTCCAAAATCTTACTTTCTCAGCTAACTTCAAGCTTTCTCTCTGCTTCTGTATCCTTTAAGTGGAAGATGCACTGCATTATTTGGGCTTATGCACAATAAATCTTGGTGTTGTGTGTGAGGTATGCTGTCTAAGAACCTCATTTTTTATATCAAGCAAAAATGAAAGAAAAAAAGAAGACAATGACAATGACATTCTGGCACCTTAAAGATTAACTGCTATATTTTAATGTGAATTTTCAAGGACAAGTCCACTTCCTCAGACTACATCGCAAACATTTATACATTCATACCTGGCCCCAAACCAGAGACTGAACTCATTTTTATGCAATCCATAAAACAGACATCATGCCTCAAGGTTTCATTGCCTCCTCTCCTCAGCTGGAAAGCCTTCTGATGCATACTCTTCAGACACAGAAAATGATTTGGTCATGGAAAACCTCAGTATATCTATCTCCTCATGCCCTATCTCCAAAATATCCACTGGGACCTGAATCCCTGCTTCCTGAGGTTGTCTTGAAGATTCTGATTCTGAAAACCATCACTGCCAAAGTCTTAAAAATGAAGCACAGCCCCTTTAAGGGAGAAAGCCTCATGCAGTGTGTGGAAGGAGCTCACAGCCTTGAGAAAGTCCTACTCAAGCTATGGTCTGAGTCTGCCAATTTTTGGAGTAATATATAAGATGAGCCTCACTAGCTTTGAGATTAGCCTCATTTGGATCTCCATCTGTAGTCTGACCACTCTGCAACTTGATTTTTATCTTAAATAGTATCTGACTTTGGATTAGGCCAACCTGGTACCTGGAATCCCTCTGAACTAATTCTCCTACAATTTGATCTCTGATGTAACTAACTTTGCTTACAGAACCTAAATGTGTCCCCTTGGCTTCCCTGGACCTGTTTCAATTATTGCTGACCTGGTAAGCAATATCAACGTCATCATAATTAATAATAACTTATTTATTATCCTCAGAGCCCTGAAATGATGCACAGCAAAACAAAAACAAGTTAACAAGTCAACATCCCTTAAAAACATTAAAAACACTCTAAAAGCTGTTATCCTTAACAAGGTTAAATTTGTACTGGCAAGAATCCTGATCAGCAAATCTCCCGTAAAATTCTCCTTTGTTCCTAGTTTGCTTTTGAATATTAGTGTTTATGCTGCATGGCTAATGTGGGGCTGTTCTATATTACAACTATAATTTGTTTTTTAGTGTTTTTTAGCATTTGTTATCCCATCATAAGGCCTCAAAAGACAGCCTTCTCAAATTAAATTGAACGTGCTGTCCTGTAACAGAAGTTTACCTTTACATAGGATTAAGGCATGTTAAACAAATCTCAGTGTCACAATCAGTTGAAAGCAGTTAGGATTCATACACTTGTCATTGCAATAAATTTTCAAAGAGAAAAATAAGAACTATAAAATATTTTTAGAAGCATTTGTGTTGATATATGCACCTTTATACATTGCTCAAGGAAACATGAGAATAAAATGATTAGTACATATCTAAAAATATTTTATACTTGCCTCCAGGACGTGGTTTTAGTATTAAATCTATGACTTCATCCCAATTATTTTGCAGAACAGCTCTGTAAAATTAAAAATGTAACTGAAATCAATAGGGCTTAACTCGCATGCACATTTTACATTACTAATCTAATTTAAAAAGAAGAGAACTGGACTGCCATGGATGAATTCTGAAAGACAAAAGAATTATATCTAACAGTTCTGGACCATTGCATATTACAATGCAATCCAAAATCTATCTATTCAGGAGCCCTACTGAGTTCTTATCTAAATGTGTATAGGATTCCAGTGAAAGAATTTAGTAACTTATGTACACAGAAATATAGCAAAGCTTTAGGCTGTGCAGTGCAGTAGAGTGGATTGCCAGCAGGCAGGCAGCAAAGAACTGTCCACCAACAGGCTAGATCCAAGCAGCTGCACCTTTGGATCTTCGCCTTGCCCACCCAACTGAAGCAATTAAGCTTAGAAGTAAAGCTTCTTCTGGAACCAAGTTTTCTCCCCCATCCTAATTTGGCAAAGGGTGAACTCTGAGGGGCATTCACAGTTGTGACTCTCCCCACAAATTTTCCATTACACACACAGCAGTTAAGACTTAGGGAAAAAAAGCTTCCATTAGAAGTTTAATGTTCGTGCACCACCATTGGAAGCTTAATGTTCGTGCAGTGAGGAGGTGGCATTTGTGGACCTAAACAACAGTTTTCTTTGCCTTCCCATGATACCGCCTTCAGCAAATATTATTGGAGTGGCAAGGGCTAAAGAAGACTGCCACACACCACTAGCGTCTCAGTCATTTTATCCTGAATTCACTGGTACAATTTTTCACAAGGCTCCAGTCACTGGTACAGGCACTCTGAGAAACTGTATGAACAGATAAGACAAGATGGGATTGGGAGGGTAGTTTCCTTTGCTGGAATGTCTAGGTTTCGTGTCTTTGGTATGAGTAAGTTCTGGCATCTGAACATTGAAACAGTGGCTGCAGCAAAAATGGTTGTGTGGGATTCCAAAAAATTACTGGATACACTGGGGATCAACAACTATAGGGTCTGTGGTTCTAGAATCTAGATGGAGGCTATCACATGATAATACAATACTAATGCTGGTCAATAAAAACATGTGGGGGATCCTCCTCAGAAAGTCAGAAGTGTCATTAACATCCATTTCTTTTCTTGAAAGTACTCAGATACCATTCTTCCATTGGACATAGGCAGAATATTTTAAACATTTTTTAAAAAAAAAAACCAAAAAACAGAAGCTATCCAAACTAAGATAGCAGAATCATGAATTTTCTCTAGACTGAGGAGAATGAAACATGGTTGGTACTCTGCTTAGGAAATAGAATGTACAATTTCCAGAGGCACAGACATTTTAAGCATTCAGCTTAACATCAATGTTTTGGTTGTTGTGGTTTTTTCGGGCTCTTTGGCCATCTTCTGAAGGTTGTTCTTCTTGACGTTTCGCATTTGTTGTTATATATTATCATTTTGCTTCTGACTTACAGTGACCTCAAAAAATTAACAGCCCTATTCAGGTCTTGCAACCTAAAAACTGTGGCTTCCTTTATTGAGTCAGTCCATTTAATATTAGATCCTCTTCTTTTTCTATTGTCTTCCATTTTTCCTAGCATTATCGCTTTTTCCACTGAGTCTTGCCTTATCACATGCCCAAAGTAGAACAGACTGTTTTGCAATTTTTGCTTCTAGACAGAGAAGCAAAAATCGCTTATTTGTCTTTCTTGTAGTCCATAAAGCTCTATTGTAACGCCACTGACAGCAGATAGGAAAGATATTGGCAAAAACCTGCTACCTAGTGTAGTAAATTGCACTACTACTACTGAATCAAAGGGAAGATAGTGAATCCTCCGTAAAGTTCTACTGAGTCAATGGGTCCATTCTGATTGTCACTATGCTAAAGTAAGTCACAATTATAGTAGGCCATTTAAATCAATGGAATTTATGGATGAGTTGATTCACCAAATTCCCATTGATTTAATGGTCCTGTTGTAGTGCAATTTTAAACAAGAGAAGTTTAGCTTTTTTTCCTGGCTAATATTTGTCCACTTTCTTCAATGTTCAGCTTTCACATCCATACAGAATAACCAGCATGGATGATCTTTGCCTTGGTCTCCAGTGACATATCCTCAAACGTAAAAGGTCTTTTGTAGTCCTTCAAAAGCTGTCCTTCAAAGTCTCATTTTTCTTACTATTTCTTGAGTGCAATCTCCTTTCAGATTGATGATTGAACCAAAGTGTAGAAAATCTTTAATAATTCTGATTTCTTTATTGCCCATATTTAAATTATCTTTTTTCTGTAGTCGTAATTGTTCTCTTCTTAAATTTCAGGTATATTCTTGTTTTTGCCCTTTTTTCCTTTTATCTTTCTCACTATCAAGTTACTGCTGTCTTCTGCCAGTAACATGGTGTTACCTACAAATCTTAAATTATCTGTGTTTGATGTTTCTTCTATGTATTTTCATTTGTCCTTCACCTGAACATCTTTTCATACATGTACTGCACATAGACTTAGTATATCAAAGATAAAATATACCCTTGCATGATACATTTGCAAATTATTTCTCCATATTCTGTCCTAACAGTGGTCCCACCCACCCATCCGGTATACCAAGTTATATATCAGGACAGCAGAATGTTGTCACAATTCCATCTATTTCATAATTGTTCACAGCTCTTTCAAGACCCACACCGTTAAAAGTTTTATTGTAATCTATAAAACATAGATCAATGTTCTTTTAAATGCTATATATATACAAAATAAAAGCAGGGTACCTTCCAACTTGATATGTTGGGATAGCTGTGGTTCCAAATCTTTGCATTCCATAGTAGTTAATGAATCCAATTTCCTTCAGAGATTGCATGGCTTGTTGGATCTGTTCATCTGTCCCTGTTATATTTCTGATAAAAGTTAAATAAAAAGGAGTGTGGAAAAAAAATTAGTTATGCCCTCTACCAAGTAGCTAAAAAAGATAAAAGTCATAATAATAATAGTTACTGTGAGAAAGAAGGAGAAAGCTTAGGAGAAGATCCATAGATTCTGATAGTGAGAAGACTGAGGAGGACAGTGATGATACAGTTATTGAAATGTGCCCCCTTCAGGAAGTGGCCATGGGACCTAACCAAGTGGGGCTTGTGAATGCCCCTTTAAGTACTGCAGAAATAAGGAGTTTTAAAAAGGAGATGAAATCACTTATAGAAGACCCAGTAGAAATTGCAGAACACATCAATTTCTAGGGCCAAATATATATACCTGGGGGGGAAATGATGTAAATAATAAGCATTTTATTTATTGGGGGAGAAAGAGCCATGATTCATAGGGCAGCTATGACCAAGTGGGAGGAGGAACATCCACCTAGGACAAATCAGACACCAGCAGATCAGAAATATCCCAATCAGGACACCGGATGGGATCACCAGAATGTTGCCCATAGGACAAATATGCAAGATTTAAGAAGTTTAATAATAAGGGGAATAAAATTGGCTAACCCCAGATCACAGAATATCACAAAAGCTTTTGAAATACAACAGGGAAAAGTTGAGAGCCCTTCTATGCACCTTCAGAGGTTAAAGGATAATATGAGGAAATACGGTACTCTGGGCTGAACACAGAAGATGAAGTGTCACAAGATCTCCTAAAGGTTAACTTTGTGACCAAATCACTCCAGGTATTAGGAAAAAGTTGGAAAAGATAGAAAACTGGAGTGACAAGTCTATAGGAGACTTACTAAGGGAAGCACAGAAAATATATGTGAAAAGGGAAGAAAAAGATAGAAAACTGGAGTGACAAGTCTACAGGGGACTTACTAAGGGAAGCACAGAGAATATATGTGAAAAGGGAGGGTGAGAAAAAGGAGAAGGGGAAGCTTATGGTTAATACAGTGGAACAAGTGATAAATAAAATTTATGGTAGACTCATTGAATATCTTCAATTGTTATATATGCCACCACATTCTCAGACAGGCCAGTCCTAGAATGTGTAGGGTATTGTGCGCAGTCAAAGTTGCGTACGGTGTGAACTTGAAGGCTGCCGCCTGGATTTTGCAAATTCGTTAAGACGGTAGGAAAGCTCTCATGCGAACCAAGTCCAATGGTTGCGAATTCGCTGAGACGGTAGGAAAGCTGTCATGCGAACCGAGTCCAATGGTGGTATCAGGTTGGACTTTTTCTCAAGGATATTAACATTGTTGATTTTTAACCCGAGTCTCTTTAGGATGTAGAGGGTGAAGTTTGTGGCAGAGACTGCCTTGTGGTAGGATTTCGCCACTAGAAGCCAGTCCTCTATGTAGGGAAAAACTTTTATCCCCTTGGTACGGAGGTAAGCCACGACCAGTGTCATGCATTTTGTGAATGTCCTGGGGGCATTCAACGGGAGAGCGGAGAATTGGAAGGTGTCGTGGTGGAACCGGAACCGGAGGAATTTTTGGTGAGATGGGTGGATGGAGATGTGGAAGCCGTCCTATAAATCTATGGTGACGAACCAGTTTCCCTGAGACAAAAGAGGCAGAATGGAGTCAAGAGTCAGCAAACGGAATTTCTTGTGGAGGATGAATTGGTTGAGGTCTCTGAGGTCCATGATAGGCCTTATGCCGCCATCTTTCTTGGGACTGCAAAGTAGTGTGAGAAAAAACCCTCGCTGGAGTCAGAGGATGGTACCCTGGTTATGGCCCCTTTGGATAGGAGTGCTGAGATTTCCAAAAGCAATGGCGTGGAAAAAGGAGTTGTTCTGACAGTTTGGTCACAGGGTCTCTGAAAATTCAATCAGATAGCCCTTTTCAAGGATATTAATGACCCACTTGTTTCTCGGAGGAATGGGAACAGTCTGGTAGTACATAAGGGATTAAGAGAAATGCTTACCCCTGTGCTGAGTCTTGTGAAAATACTGCTTGGGGCTGCAAAAGCATTGCTGCTTGAACAGCGGAGGGATGGACTGTTGGGTCTGATAAGTCCAGTCCTGCTGTTGTTTACTGTACCAAAAGGACTGGTACTGAGTGGAAGATTGGTATTGAGGCTTTTTGTATGCCTGCTTCTGGTTCCTATATGGCTGGTATGGTACGTAAGACTTCGCTGTCTTCCTCATTTTATGGATATTCTCCATGATTTCATCAGTCTTGGAGTTAAACAGTCCAATCCCATTGAAGGGTAGGTCCTCAATTTTTGTTTTGGTGTCGTCGAGGATATTGGCGGTTCTGAGCCATGCATGGCGTCTGACAGCTATCGCCGTTAGCATAGATTTAGAGGCGATGTCTGCTGTGTAATTTGCAGCAAACCTCTGCTGTCTGGTCAGGGTATTAGCCTCTTCATAAACGTTGAGGGCTTCCACTTTAGAAGGATCAGGTAAAGTTTGTATCATTGGAATTATATTGTCCCAAATATGCTTTTGGTAGGCGACCATGGCCGTTTGATAGTTGGCTATTTGATCAGAAGGGCAGCAAAGGCATAAAGCTTCTTGCCCAAACTGTCCGTTTTCCTACCCTCTTTGTCAATGGGTGTAGCCGATGATCGGGTACGAGACCTGTATTGGGTGGCTTCAACCACGATGGAGTTGGGTGATGGATGATTAGTGAGGAATTCGGAATCCGACCCATGAGTTTTATAGCGATGCTCTATTTTGCGAGGGACTTGAGCCATTGCGGGTGATTTGTCCCATGAAGTTTTCATTAGTTCGAAGAGGGCTGGGATGAGACTTAGTCTAGGAGGGGAGGCTTTGTCCTGCTCCATGTCTTGAAAGACTAGGTCCATTTCCTGTTGCGGGATCTGTGCATCCAGCTGAAGGGTTTTAGCCATGCGCATAATGAGTTGTGCATAAGAGGAGAAGTCTTCTAGAGAAGGCTGGGAAGACGAGCCTTGACCAACTGCCTCAGGAGCCTCTGATTCACTGGATACTGTTGAGTGGTCATCTGGAAAGGATTGGGAGGCTAGAGAAGGAGAGCGGTGCGGTACCGCACCCTCCGGTACAACATCCATGTCGGACTGCATGGACAGAGAAAAGGGCTAGGTATCGTGAGCTCCAGGGCCTGAATATAGAGTGGTAGCCCACACTGAAGAGTGATGGCTGCTGCATTTAGCGCATTTAGGAGGCACTGTAGGTACCATGGGGAAACGCCTCTTACGGGACGGTACTTGAGGTGTTAAGAGATCCACCTGAGCCTGCAGCTGATGTAGCGCGGGAGGAGCTATGGTATGATGCCACGGCGGTTGAGGCATAGAAGTGCCTGGAAACTCCGGCGGGTAAACACAGACTTGGTACGGATATGGTTGGTACGGAGCGTAGCAAGGGTGGCCAAATGGCGGACCCTGTGGATGGTACCCATTTCCTGTATCTCGAGGCTGGTACAGAATGGTATGTTTGCGCTTTGCCTAGGAGTGTCGTGGACAGACTCCTGTTCAGAAAGAGACTCGGTATCAGCCCGCCCTGAGTATCAAGGGCTAGAAGGGGCAACGGCCTGGCTGCCGTCTGGCACAGCCTCGAATCGGCCCGAGTTTGGAGACACGCACATAGTACCCTGAGCCGTCTGGGCTAAAGGAATGTGCTCCTCAGTATCAGAAAGTCCAATTCCTTCCCTTGAAGACTCCTCGAGCAGTATCAAAGGACCTGAAGGAGGCACTGTAGGCAGTTCAGCCGACTTCTTCAGCTTTTTGAACTTATCATTGGTATTCCTTTTTGCAGGAAGGACAACTCGAGAAGACGCCTTGGCTTTAGGCGGTTTTGAGGCTTCCTTAGGCTTCACAGGAAGGGAAATGGTAAGAGATGACTGCTCAGCAGAAGTCTGTTTAGAGACCTCCAAACGTGGAGGGGTTGGTGCAGGGAGGGAAGAGCCGTCCATGGCGGGAAGAAGAGTCTTCTCGTAGAGAAAAGATCTAAGCCGTTGGCGTCTGAGTGTAATGGCTTGCTTGGAAAAACCTCTGCAAGCAATGCAGGTCTGGTTGAGGTGTGATTCTCCCAGACAAAACAAACACTTATCGTGGCCGTCTGAAAGAGGGTTTTTGTGGGAACAGACGGCGCACTGCTTGAAGCCCCAAGGGGCCATAAAACAAAAAAGGGGATCTGTCGAAAAACGGGGGGGGGGACAGAATAACGGCAAACTAAAAATAAGGCAGGTTCTGTTGATGGATCAACAATAAAACAATAACAGAAAAGGTTAGAATAAAAAGGACTAGCTAGGCTAGAATACTTAAGTATAGATGCTCTGCTCTTCCTAACGTCCTAACAGTACGGCGGAAAAAGAGGAACTGAAAGGAAGATGGAGGAGGCGGAGCCTATATCCCCTCCGGGGGGGCTAATTGACTCTTTTCTATAGCTCTAGAATCTTCTGCATACTGCGCAGGCACAGGATTAACCCAAATGTGTGCATTCACAGAGACCACTACGAAGAACCTGGTATTGGTACCTGGTGCTGGGGGTGTAATGGAACCAGTCCAGCAATAGGATATAGTAGTTGCAGGATAGATATTAAAATGAATGGAGTAAGAATGTCAAACTGAACTTGGGCTACAGGCCACAATATAATGGCACTGAATATTACAGGATACTATTTACAATGGATTATGAGATAACAGTGTAGCAAGGTGTATCCCGCATTATGAGGGCATTACTTTATTTGTGGAAAGAGAGCATACACAATACTGCTGGATAATTGGAGTGGAAATTGTTATGTAGCTAGAGTAATGCCTGCCCTCTGAATTCTGCCAAACTTGCCAGAAAAACAAGTAAGAAATAAAAGAGATCTTGCTCAGTCACGTCAGTCACTATAGTCCACTGACACATTTTGGCGGTCTAAGGTCTCTCAACCATGCCATGTACCACATACAAGTGGTAGTGGAAATATCAGCAAATGAGACAAGGGAAACCTTGGAGCTAATAAAAAATAGAACTAAGTGACTTGAGGCAGTTATCTTTGCAGAACAGGGAGGCATTAGACATAATCTTGGCTGTACAAGGAGGAATGTGTAAATTTATTGGAAAAGAGTGTTATGCGTATGTCTCCGATTATGGGAAACAAATTGAGGAACATAGAAATCATATGGAGGAAGTAGCCAAAGTATAGAAGAAGGGTGGAATCCTGGCTAACTAGCTGGCTACCGAATTTAGGGTGGTTAAAAACAGCTTTTCTGGGAGCAGTAATGATGATAGTAATAGGGTTAGTATGTTGTTGCATTTTACAGTGTGATTGCATGCTTTGTGGATGCATAAAAGATACACATTGGGGTGCATTTATTCCAATGATAGCAATCAGGGAAGTGACCGATGGGTTACCAGAAACTGGTAAGGAAACTATTATTGAAATAGAGAGAATATTAAAATGCTTTGAGGCTGCCAGTGGCAAAGAAAAATAGTGCAAAAGGCAGCAAATTATGAAATAAGAAAAGGAGAGATTGTGAGAAATAGAGGAATTAGTGCTGCTTTTACAGGATTTCGTAGAGACAAAGTGATTAAGTAGATTGCTTCTGTAACCAATTAGTACATGCATTTGTTAATTATATAGCTGACATTAGGAATTTTAGGGGAGGTCCGGGAAGCCAATAGAAAACATACAGATAAGGGAGGTGCCCTACTGTACTGACAAAAAGATTAAGTGAAAGGACCTGGTTACCGCAGTGAGGTTAAAGAAAGGGAACACGTAGCAAATAAAGGAAGAAATAAATAAGGGTCTGGGGTCCAGGTAAAAAAAGGAGTGGGAGATGTAAACAAAGGCGGGACTTCCTGTGATCAGTTTAGGCACTTTGGATAGGCTGTACACCTTGGAGTACCCAGACCAATAGGGAAACAAGGGAGGGACCATGCGGCTGGGAATGGGGGATAAATACCATGTGACCTGCATTGATGGGTGTGCCTACCTAGCTAGGACACCCACTTTTGCAAAAGTGCTTTTAATAAAAGAGTGCTGCTTATATTCATGGTTGTCTGGTTACTGCATTTAAGTAACAAGGGGTGAACATTTCTTACAGTTACACAGTAAACCTATTCATCTTTACACAGCATAAAGTCTATGGTGCACAAGGTTGTAATCCTATTTGTGTTTTCTTAGGAATAACCACACTACTTGTGTAACCACTTGTGCAAGAAGTTCCACAATCAGCTATGCAGATGTTATATAATCAGCTGCACAGCTACTTATGCAAAATTATATTGAGTACTGCTCCCAGGCCTCTGCTGGATACAGATCTTTTATTCCACCTTCCTTCATGTATAAAGTATGAATACTTGCTTTAAAAACTTTTCTGCCCTAAGATTATAAGATACCAGACCTGGTTGGGAAAAACAAACCCAGTTTCCATAACTGCATAGGAACAGTGCACTGGCATACTGCCCTCACAAGGGAAAAGTAGCCATGACTATTTTTAAAATAATTCTTCAAGCAAGTATTGAAAAACAGAGGATCATGTCCCCTGTGGCCCTTTTGCTGATTGAACTTTCTTCTATCAACAAAACCAGAAGGGGATGGAATTAATCCTCTCCTCTGTAGCTTCCCGGATACTCATGAAAGGGCTCTTCTGGAGCAGATTTCTGCATGGTTATGGAGGGTTGCAGTTCAGATGAAAGAGGAAGAATGTACCATCACTCTAATGAATATCTGCTAGGTGAGAATGTTGCATCCACATTGATGTTAGCTGCCCTTATATCCAATTGAAAACATACAAAAATTAATTCTGTGTTTAGGTGTCACTGAAATCCAGTATAACCTTGAGCCAAGCTGATTATTTTAATGACAGCTTGGGTCCTTCCAGATCTTTCACAACTAGAACTGCCATTACTCCTAGCCAGCATAGCAAATGGCAAGAGCTGATGGGAGCTGCAGACTAACATCTGGAAGCTGCTCACCTGTGGTTTAAAGAATAATTTAAACCTGGGATTTAATATTGAGAAATAACTGTGAATCTTGCTAGTGTAATAATCTCATTTTGCTTAAATTTGCCTTGGGGCAAAAAAAAAGAGACAGGACAAGATTTATTCTGCGGAAAGGGAAGTCATGAAAGGGTTGGAAGTTTTTTATGATCCTGTTCAATGACACTGTATCACCCACCTCTGCGCTAAGAAATTATTGAACATTAGTTCACCAGGCTTTACCATATTTTTCAAAACCAAGAAGTTTCTAACAAAAAGCACAGATCCATAGTAATACTGAAACATAACATTTTTACCTGAGAACCACTGTGAAGTGATTTCCCTGCAATTCTCCCAATTTCAAAGGATGGTTCTTGTAACTAAAGTTTCCAAGCTTGAAATTCATTAAACACTTATTCAAATGAGCTAGCCTTTGGGCTGTGATCCTAGAACAAGGAGGGAGGAGGGACAAGATCAGAACAACCACTGGTGGAAGTAAGGGACCCAGATGGAGATATCATGCTAAGTCATATTAAGCCATAGCAAGCCTTAATTTGAGCTACAGAAAGATTTAACATGTACCAGAATCCAGAAGGAAAGGACATGCATGAATTCAACTGCAAGAGGTAGGTGCCATGTTCCCACGGCTGGATGTTCTGTAATAAACACAGGAGAAGGGCCTGATCTTTTCCCAATCTCCACTACAGTGTTAATTGCAGAAATATCCAGCCAATTAGACACAACATACCACTTGCCATCTCCGACACTGAGCACTGATTTTGTCTTTGAGAAACTCTAGTATATTTTATGTAAAGCATGTTTTGTTCTGAACTGATTCTCAGACTACATGGAACTTCAGAACAGACTGCATGCTACTCAGCTCAACAAGCATAGAGTGGTGATTTTAAAGTCATACAAACTTGTGACTTTCAGCAATCACTTCATTGTATTTCTTAATATTTATGTCCCCAGACTAGATCTGTGATTGCAAATCTAAACTTCAAACATTTTCTTTACAAGAGTGGCACACCTATGAATTAAACACATACAGTGGTGCCTCGCATAGCAACATTAATCCGTTCCAGGAAAAACGTTGCTAAGCGATTTAATCGCTAAGCGATTTTTAAAAGCCCATAGAAACACATTAAAACGCGTTTAATGCATTCCTATGGGCTTCAAAACTAACCTTATGCGAAGATCCTCCATAGGGGTAGCCATTTTCGGTGCCTCTAAAGCGAGGACACACAGCGGGTGGCCTTTTTTTTTTTCCGGCGGCCATTTTGAAATTGCCGGTCAGCTGTTTAAAAAAGGTCGCCTTGCCATGATCGCTTCCCCGCGATCATCGCAAAGCGATTTTCCCCAAAGGGACCATCACTAAGCGATCGCTCTTGCGATGGCCAAAACCCCATCGCTAAGGAATTTTGTCACTCAACGGAGTGATCGCTAAGCGAGGCACCACTGTATTTCTGTGCCAACTTAACCCCACAATACTTTCACATGCATATCTCCGTATCAGCCTTAGCCATAGTACCTTCCTAAATAAAACATAACTGTAAAATCATATTATATTAATGTACATATGACAGTTGGTCCAAATAGATTTTCCAACCAGACTGATCACCTTCTTTTTTACTTACCTAAGAACAGCAATCTCTTGAACTGTAATAGCCCTTTTATCTTTAGTGCCCATGTAGGAAAATATGTTTGGCTTCACTCTTTAAAAAGGAAAAGGAAAAGACGTTCAGTGCTAGCAAAGCAATTAGGGGAAAAATACAAAAAGATATTATATTTGTACATAGAAGTCAATTATTTAAACCATCAAATTCACAAGTGTTTGGAAGTAGAATTTAAGATAGCTACAGTAGCAAATGGATCTCATGACATATTTGATAACAGGAAATGAGGCAATGGTGTGGTATGATAGCAAGTTCTGACATCCCACTTTCTACAAGACAAATAGTATATAATACTCCCATCAGTCACCAGGTAAGAACCAATGATGCACCTTTGCTGGTGGAGTGGCACAGTCAACTCAAATCTGTGCCACTGATGCCCTTCTGTACTCCTCTGGAGGGCTGGGAATCCCTATGGCACTTGCTTTGAGGAAGCATACAGAGCTATGGTAGAAAGCAAAGTGAAGAAAGTTCTGTTGGGCTGATGCCTAAATTGTCGACATAATGCTGGATTTCGTTTTAGTTCACTATCCCGCAAATCTGTGGTAGGGATTCTCAATCTCTTTTTGAAGGGAGATGTTCTTGTACATTACATTTTTAAAATTATTTTTAAGCCTAGAACCATTTTTTTCAGAGACAGGTATCCAAGAAACAGAATAATCATCTCAGCAATTCACTGGTTCCAAAAGTTATGAGCATGTATATGTGGCTATCAAGTTTTTTTTTAAAGAAGAAGCCATCCTACCCCTAACATGTAATAGTGCTACTCCAAATAATTTTAAAGCAGGCAATTTTTCCACCTGCCAGAAGCACTTTCTCAGCTTTAGCCTTTCCTCTGCCACCAAATAAATTAACCCACCTTAAAAATTTTGATAGCACATTGATGGCATCCATGGTATCCTTGTTTTCCTTGTATAATACAAAGTGGCAGTAGCTTCCCCTAGATTTGGGCCAAGAATGTTTTCTTGGATCTTTAAAGACAAAAAGTTAAAACATTCAAATTACAAAACCTATGACATATTGCTCTTCCCTATTTAGGACTTTTTACAAACCACAGATCGTAGATTGAGGAGCGCATTCTCCATTTTGATGTGGAAAAATATATATTAGGCTAACTTCATTATTCAGATACATACTAATCAACAAGTCCTTTGCAATCCATTACAATATTTAATAATGCCACTACAGTGTAATATATTCCTCCAACAAAACCAAAGACAAAAAAATAAATCACTGTCTGAAGAAATAAAACCACTGTAAGTTGTGCAAATACAGTTGATGTCAGGGCTGAGGCTGAACCTGGACAAGACGGAAGTTCTGAGGGTGGGTGGCCCTGTGGATGGTGGCTTGGGAAACTCCCTCATGTTTGGGGGGGTGGCCCTGGCCGCGAAGAGTGGGGTCCGCAGCCTGGGGGTACACCTGGACCCGATGCTCACCATGGAAACGCAGGTGGCATCGGTAGTCCGCAACGCCTTTTTCCACCTTTGGCGGATTGCCCGGCTGCGACCTTACCTAGACACGGGGGCGCTCACTACCTTAGTACTTGCGCTCGTAATTTCTAGATTAGACTACTGTAACACGCTCTACGTGGGGCTTCCTTTGAAGCTGATGCGGAAACTTCAAGTGGTGCGGAATGCAGCGGCCAGACTCCTTACTAGAGTGAGAAAATACCAACATATCTCTCCTACTCTGACCATGCTGCCCTGGCTGCCCATCCGTTTCCACATTGATTTCAAAGTGTTAATGCTTACATATAAAGCCTTAAACGGTTTAGGACCTCAATACTTGGTGGAACGCTTACTCCCAACTAGTTCTCCCTGTGTCAACCGCGTGAGCCAGGAGGTGAGGCTGAGGAGCCTGACGCTGAGGAAGGCCCGGAAAGAAAGAACTAGAAACCGGGCTTTCTTGGCGGTGGCTCCTCGTCTCTGGAATAACCTACCTCCGGAGATTCGCGCTGCACCCTCGCTGGGGACTTTTAAGAACCAACTAAAACATGGATGTATAGGCAGGCCTTCCCTTCCAGTTAATTCCTGTCCTCTTTCCTTTTTTTTTTCTTTATTTGATTTATTTTTATTTTTCCCATCTTATAGAATCATTTAATTAATTAATTGTTATAAATTTTTTTAGAACTTGTTATCCTTATGTTGTAAGCCGCCTAGAGTGGTCGAAATGACTAGATAGGCGGGGTATAAATACAATAAATAAATAAATAAAAATAAATAAAAAAACTCACATCAATTAAAAACTATCCATTATACTGTCAAATAATTATCTGTATGATAAAGAGTCAGATGTATGTGTTATTTTCTACCACCATTCAATTTACACTAAATGCTTTTTGATTTGTGACAAAGGGAGTAGAATTAAGATTAGAAGGGAGCAGAAAATATTGTTCTTATAGTAAAAAAAAACATGATCATTTTACTGGAGATCCTTAGGCAATGTTCACATTTTCTATTCCTAAAATAGGAGTCAAGGTATAACATTAAGAGGTTATTTATCACGTGATAACAGGTTATAGCCCTGTAACTGTTTTATGTTTTCCTTAGCTATTGTAAAGTGCAGTTAATACATGTCAGAATTAAAGACTAAGCAGGAATCATATGGATATGGAGCTGTTGTTTGACTATGAACCATGGCTCAGATCAACGAAGATTATAAATATTAATTTTTGATGTAAATGCTTTTTTCTGATTTTTATATCTTACCCTTATCCCACTCTGGGCCTTTTTGTGTTCCACATGCATCTGTGGATGTTTTATATGAAGCACAGTGTTAATATAACTGTAAATAATTAATCTGTATGATTTGGGGGGGGGAGCAAAATTAAGATTTTTAAAGTTAGTTTTTTGGACTACTGTTCCAAGAATCCTCTGACTAGCATGGCCACAAGATTCTGAAGCTGTAGCCCAAGAAGTCAACTCTTCCATTTTTTTCAGTTACAGTAATTCGAATTTCCATACTACTTTGGTTTAGCTGCACTACAAAAAATGGAAAACTTAGCACATTAAACTCTTAATGTCAGAGGGGCTTTCAGTATTAAGATTAAGAGGAATAGGAATAGTTCTCAATTGCAAGTCTTAATGTTAATTTATTTCTCAAGTTGCAGTTGATCATTTAAATTTGCTTGCATACAATTCAGTGTTCACTCATTTAAATGGAAAACTTAACAGAGTGGGAGTTACTCCTGGCTAAATATGAAGACAATAAATGTGGAGGGGCCACATATATATTTCTCTTAGTTTCTCAACCTTCCCCATTATTTTGCTGGTTGAATTGCAGACTATTTGATTGACATTTCATTTTCTCCTAACAGGAAATGCCAACATCTCTTACCTGTTGAAGTTCTGACCTCTGTTTATATGCATAGGGTAAAGAGCATAAGAGAGTAACATTTTACTTAATTTATTTTTAAGGTATGAAAGTGCTTTGTATGGGAGCATGCAAGTTTATGGTTTATATGTTGCAGATGTCTGGAGCATTCAACAGTTAATGTGACGACTGACATCCTTCTAGACAGCAGTGATGGAATCGTGCAAAGGAGTAAGTAAATAAACAAATAGAAGGCTTCAGTTAAACACATAACAAACTACAGTGAGGACACCACTGGACAGAGCCAATAATATACAAAGGTTATTAAACGTTCCATGTGTTTAGCAGAGAAATACCTTCTATTTCCCCTTCAAACCTGAAAATATCTAACTAATTGGGATTCAAGTGTTGTAGCAGGGATCCCCCCCTCCATCAGCTAAAGATATACTGGTCCTGCAAATACTTTCACAAGAAGAAATGTGTTCATATGCACTTAACAAGACACATCCAAATGGATATGAACTATACTTGGGGGAAATGTTGAAGGACAGCTGCCTGAAATTTTATTAAATCATACAACCTAAGCTCATACATGCATTTTTCTCAGTTAGTAGGGGAACAGGGAAAGAAAGAACATGGTTTGAGGATTTATACTTTGTACTATAACACATGCACGCTTCATGCACAAGGCATGCAAACATGGATTGTCTTAAATATTCAGTGCAATACATAATTACATTCTCACATAAATGAAGTCATCTTGTAGATTGATATCAGCTTATGAGCTCAGAAATAACTAACTTACATTACCATACTTGGAAGTTTAGAATGTTATAACTAAATGTAATATAGGTTTTTGATTGCTTATGGTTGACACTCACAAACATACTTCCATAGTGATTCTAGAACAAGCACACATAAGTGTCAGGTCAACTGCTACACCCTTTCTGCATAAACTTACACTAAACGTCAAGATTTTCCATCACATAGTGATGGATTAATAGTTTTGTCTATCACAAGACAGTTACTTAGGACAACTCTTCCATAGGTTTGTAAAAAAAGGGGGGGAGTACATCGCTTGTGCACATTATAGAAGAGAGTACAAAGATTTTCATGCCACTCCAAGACTCCCTAATATTACAATTCATTTGCAGCAGCATCAACCTCCACATTAATTTCTTAACAAACATAATCTTTGGTGAGTTAGGGCAGATTTTCATCTCGATAGGGGACAAAACCACCTGTTTTACAGGTGTCGGATAACAGGAATACTGAAACTCACTTGCCAGTGCCTTTTTTCCAGCAGCGTGGTAAGCAACAATGTATTTTTTCCCATCCCGATCTTCTGTTTTTGTCTCTAATCCTGGAAACAGAGATTTTACTGCCTGGTGTATAACTGTCCTTTTCTCCTTAGTATCTTCTATTACCTAAATAGCAGCATAGAAAATAAACAAAGACTAAAAGCTTTGATTACCTCCATTTGTTTTCATTAACACACATCTTTTTGCACTTGCTGAGGGTTGAAGTGAATCCATGATTACGAAGTTGAAGTAAGACGCCATACTAGGTGCTCCCCTTCTTCATACCATAAAGTAAACAGCCAGGCTTATGCCTGATAGAATTATCACCCACCACCAAGCTCGACAGATGTGCATTGCCCTCTCTGATAGAATTACTGGGAAATGACTATTGCACCCTGTCCCTTCACTTTAGAGCAGTGTTTCCCAACCTGGGGATCATGACCCCCCCCCCAAGGGGATCACAAAGTGTTTTCTTTAACCACTTCCTCCTGGGTATCAAAATCTAATAAAATATAATGCTTTAATATGCTTGTCTTTGGTATTCAGGAGAACTCTGTCAAAGGGAGTATTGTCTACAATAAAAACCTTGCCGCTTCTCTTTAGCATATATTGAAATCAGCGGAGAGTGTGACCACCAATCTATATCAAATCTCTGCATCATTAGTTCATCTTTGTCTTTAAATGTCCCATCTGGTTTTAGTGCTTCTCTACATCTTAAGATTTTCTTGTTTTCTCTCTGGCTTGGAAGAGAAAATGCCTCCACTGGTACATAGTATTTTGAATTTTAGTCTAAGACCATAATATTTTATCAAAATATGGTTATTGAATTGTTTAAAATCATCCTCTACTGTACCAAAGGCAGGCATGCCACCCCCATTTCAAATCATGACCTTCTAATTTTAACAGTATTTGATTTTCCAATAAAATCCAATCTTTGATCCACGTTAATGATGCAGCCCTATAGTATAACAGCCAGTTCGGAAGACCCATTCCTCCTCTGTTTCCTGTCCTGAAGTGACTTTAATTTTATCCTTGGTTTATTTCCTTGCCAAACAAACTTAGATATAATCTCATCAAGTTCTTTAAATATTGAGTGTTTTAAAATCACTGGAATGTTTTGAAATAAGAAAATCAACTTTGGTAAAATATTCATTTTGCCCATCATTGTTAATTGTAGATTTCCTCATCTAGTCAAACCTTTCTTCATTTCTTCCATCAGTTTCAGATAATTATCTTTCATTAAGGTACTTGGGGTTTTTTGTAAAATTTATTCCAAGATAATTTACTTTCCACAAAGACTTTCACAGCCAGGATCTAATGGTTTTTCTGGGTTTTTCGGTGTCTTTGGCCGTGTTCTGAAGGTTGCTCTTCCTGACGTTTCGCCAGTCTCTGTGGCCAGCCAGGTTGTTGTCCTCTGAAGATGCCGGACACAGAGACTGGCGAAACGTCAAGAAGAACAACCTTCAGAACATGGCCAGAGCCCGAAAAACCCAGAACAACCATAATTTACTTTCTTTCTCTCCTGGAAATTTGTAAGATTCAAGAGGTCGTCTATTTCTTTATGTTGCATGTTTTTAGATACATTTTTTGTCTTTCAATGGTTTACGTTCAGACCAGCCATTTCTCCAAACTCTTTTAATTCTTTCATAAGTGCTTTAGTTGATTCTTGTGGATTTTCTACCACAAGATATGATAAGGTGGGCACAGAATATTGGGCACAATATACATTTGGATCAGTGGGAACAAATATGGAAAAACAATATAAAACTCACTAAGTCAGTAGCTTTAAAAGAAAAATATATATAAAATGTTTTATAGATGGTATATAACTCCCACAAAATTAGCCAAAATGGATGTTAGAATTTCAAATCTATGTTGGAAATGTAAACAAAAAGGTTCTTTTTACCATATGTGGTGTTCATGTGGGAAAGCCCAAAAATATCGGAAAAGGGTTTAAATGCTTTTGCATGAGGTTTTAGAGATTCCAATAACTTTAACTCCTGAATTTTTTCTTCTAACTATAATCCCGGATTCAATGGACCTAACGGAAAAATATTTATTTATCCATATCTTGACAGCTGCAAAAATTCTTTTTGCTAAACACTGGGAAAGACCCAGAGAATCCATCACAAGAGGAGTCAATAGCAAAAATACTGGATACGGTGGAGATGGATAAATTATCAGAATGCGTAGACTCAACAAGACAGACAAATCATGAAGATTGTTGGGGAAATTTTATGACTGGCTTAGAAATAGACTCTAAATTAATATTTGATAATTGAAAGTCTATGATCAATTTAGAATTAGAATATGTATTATAAATTAGTTACACCAGAAACGTATATATCTTTGAAATGGAATAGATAAGAATGAATACTGTAAAATGTTCATGTTGATTTACAACCCCTGTTTAATCCCATGTCCCCTGCCCCCTCAACCCTATAAAATAATTTTTTTAAGTGTTTTCTGGGGTCTCGCAGGTGTGTATGTGTTGTAGTCCTTATTAAATAATTTCTTCCTTAACCTCTCAGAACTGGATATTAAAGTTAACATGCACTGTATGTATGAGAAACAGGTCCTTTGCAGGAGAAAGAAGCCTCTACTTTCTGAGAAGGGATGGCTCTACCCCATTAAAAATGCCTTTTTATGCAAATGTGGTGGTGGGGGTGTTGCAGCTTACTTGGCTATTATAAAAGGGGGTCCTAACTCAAAAAGGTTGGGAACCACTGCTTTAGAGGAGAGAAAAATACTATAGAGTCTATTACGAGTTGGCTGCCATTCACGTGTTTATGCATAACACGGTTGAGCCTGCAATGCAGAACCAAAACTTTCAGGAAAAGACTCCTGACTACTTTCAATATTGACTGATTGACTGTCTGACTGATTAAACATATGGGGCCCATGATCAAATACTGCCTAAGTGGCTTATGGGTAGACCTTATTGGTAGCATCAATTCTCCTGCAGCCAGCGAATGACATCTCTGCAATGAAAGGGATTCCATAGGCCTCAGGATCTCCAGGGGACACACTGCAAATGTTTAATTTCTGGAAAAATCACTGATGACATTGCTGATCACATCATCAGTCTTACATGGCATAATTTATGGGAATAAACTAAACTAAATCCTGCTTATAGCATAAGCCAAGTCATAACTTTCAATCCATTCATCCCTGGCAAATAAAGTCTGCCTGCTGTGATTCTGGGGAGAAGGCATGAGCACACACAGCAAGCTAGCACATATACCCCCCAAAGAATCACAGATGGGACTCTTTGTTTGCCACAGAGGAACAGACAAAAAGTTTTGGCTTGCTTTACAGTAGAAACAGGATTTCAGCCATAGTATCTAAATGCACGGAAGTAGTATACAGTGAACTTCCAGATCAACCTGTTGCCTGTGATGCTCTGCCTTGAGCAATCTATAGTGCTATGCCCTTTTGAACTCTCCAAAGTTTTTTTCAACATTCCCTTACTTGTTTGCTACCAGTCTTGTGCCAGTATTCAGCCTTAGATGGAGTTTACCACCCATTTCAGGCTGCACTCCCAAGCAGCCAATTAAAAAGAAGATCTAGTCCCCAAACACTGGGGACCACTACTGACTTCATACTGTCCAAGGTAACAATGCAAGTGAATACTATATTCAGCAGTGCATGAATGAATACTGTACATAGCATTTTAATACATAATATTCTCTTTTACTTATTCACCGGCCACACCTTTCCATACACATATTAAATCATCTCTGAAAGGCAGCTTTATATTTGGACTAACATACAATAATGCTAGTGCAACATTTCTGTAAAGCCAGCTTATTGTACTTACATCTGAGTACAGATATAAGCTGGCGCCTTCAGATAAAATAGGCATTTTGTGATTCTAAAGTCAGCCCACAAATACAAAAAGGTTAAGAACCACTGTTCTAAAGTCAGCCCACAAATATTGTTAATACGAAAAATTTCCCACCACAAGTTCCCTACTGAAATTTAACAACTAATTTTCACAGATGAAAATGAAGCCAGAAACCTGTTCTTGGACTTTATTTTATTTAGCTCAGTGGCTTAGGTCTATGGCTGTGGAGCCAGAGGTTAGGAGTTCTGTTCCCCACTGTGCCTCCTTGAGAGGAGTTGGATTTGATGATCCACAGGCTCCCTTTCAGCTCTGCAGTTCAAAGGTTATTATTATGTTGTTGTTATTTCTTTGCATTTCTATTCACCTCCTTTTCCTATGAATGGAACTGAAGGACACTTACAATTCAATAATACAGATACTAGTAATAAGAATAACATTAATATGAATAAAAGCATACAATTTAAATCACAGTTTTAAAAAGCACCCCCAATGACAAACGATCTGTTCCATAAACATAAAAGTAACTTTTGGAGGCAAATTCTCTCAGGTTATGAAGTCAGCGTTGACAACAGCTATTGTTGATGAGTCACAGAACTAAATACACAACAAATAATGTCTGAAGTGACTGCATAACTAGAGGCAATTGACCTCCAAAGGCTTGTGTTACAACAACAATAGGATTTTGACCAATAATATTTTTGTTAACACTTTAAGCTGCAGACAGAAGTCCCACTGATGCTACAACACAGTTCATCCCAACTATAGGAATTCCCTGCACATTATTTAAAAGACAGGGCATCAAAGTGAAGCCTAAGGCACAGCCCTTCTCTTTCTTACACTAGTCTGCCAAGTACAAGGAACTATTTGATTTCTGCAGAGAAACATTTTGTCACAGCAGGCCCAGCATGCTATCTGAAATGATACAGAAAGAGGCTTACACCCCAAAATCAAATATAAAATCAAATCCAATTTTTTTGCTACAATATACCTTTTCTAACCAAGATGATGATTGCTTAATCCTATTTGTATAATCCCACAAAACAGGAAGCAAATACAGAAAACAAAAGTTATCACTCAAATGTGCACTTAAGCAGGAAAGTGATTTTCTATGGACAAAAGATCTATTCCTCTGAGCAATTTTATTCATAACAAGTTTAGTTTACTAAATTTACTATTTAAAATAAGCCCTATCCAGGCATTATGCGACCTGCTGAACAACATACATCCACCCCCTCTGCCATTACATTCTTCAGTTTCATCTTCAGCTCAGGAGCAGTTCCTGCTTACAGGTAGGCTCTTTAAAACAGCAAAAACCCAGAATCTGGGTTCTTGCTCACATGTGGAACTTATATATGAGCAGAACCCTTCTCTTCAAAGCCAGGGCTAAAACCATGAACTATACAGTAATAGGGTGGGAGTGGGGAATGTTAGCACTATCTCGTAAGTGGGCTCATCTCACCAGGTTGTGTCATCAACGTATAGCAACCCTAACAGGCTTCCAAGATAAATGACATATTTAAGGAATGGTTTTACCATTTCCACTCCTCCAGTGAGTTTCCATGGCCAAGAGGGGTTTCGAACCCTGGTCTCCAGAGTCCATCACCCCATCCACTATACCATATTAATTTTTATAGCACCTGAATATAGCTACAGATGCATCAGATTTTTCCAGCTTGTATGAACATTCCATGACTCAAATGCCATTCCTATACAAGCCTTTCATGATTGATCCCCCAAAACTGCATAATCATCCTCTTAGGTAACCACTATCCAAATCAATTTAGTCCCATTACATCATTTCCCAAACATTATTCCAGAATTATATTACAGATTTATACTTTTTATGTGCTCCCAGCATTATTTAGTCAATTTACCTCAATGGCAACATTGCCTTCTTTATTTTTAAAAAGCTGCAGTTCTTCTAGTCGCTGCTTATCTTCATCTGACAACACTGTAAAGATCTCTTCAGAAGGATCCTGACAGGTATATTAAAAAAAGAGGGGAGAACACATGTAAATACAAGCCCAAACATGTATTGTCAATGCAATGAAGTCCTTAATTTTAGCATTTTACTTACGTAATTACCTCTCATATCTATACAGAGAAAAATTACCTCATTATCCACTGGCACAGTGAAGTCATCTAAGTGAATTATATGTCCATCTTTTCCTATTTCATGAACAACAAAGTCTGAGTATCTAGTAGAGACAAGAAGGTCAGTCAGCTGAGAGCTCTGTAAAATGTGGCAATGTCACTCTTTCAGACTAACAATACAGGGTCATTGTGAGCGGAAAAACAGGGAAGAGAAATTCCTGCCTTTAGCTATCAATATGAAAAACAGATAAACATAACAAACAAGGAGATCCATCCAAACCTTTAGCGTCTCTTATGGTTCCTTAGCCTACAGTAACCATGATGGGTGAATCCAAGTTGTGCCAGTTATCATTACTGAACCAGTACTGTCTATCTACAGAGTGATTTAATAAAGGTAAGAGAGGGGTACAATAATTTTAAAAAACAGCCACATTGTAACAGGAGGCAAAAACAATGGGAAGGGAGGAAAGGGGGGAAAGAAAAAAAAGGAGAAAAAAAGATAATGAAGGATGAAATTGAACAATCAACATGTATGAAGATATTTTTAAATGTGGATATAGAGTGGGATTAAGTTTCTTGCAAGAGACAGTTTTTAGTAGCACTGCAGTATCCACAGGGATTGATTCCAAGCCCATTTGTGAATGCCCAAAATCACAGATAAGTGAACCCTATATAGAGCACAGTCTCAGGTTACCTCTAGTGGCCTGTTCTAGTAATACATCTTGGAAACATATGTCTCAGACAGGGGGTGGTGGTTATTTGATATTTTCAGGCAGCAGATACATGAAACTGTGAGTACTGATTCTGCAGATATTGTGGTTCTACTGTATATACTTCTTTAAGTTGTTCTGTTGATATGTACAAGCACTGACAAACCCTAGTGTTCAGATTTCTATGGAGGAAGTAAAAAATAACACATGACAACCCCATTCTGTGCTTGGTGCCATGGCTTTTGACTGGGTCTGGATCAGAATTATAGTGTGCATTAGTCTTCAATAAACTAACAAATGAGCACAATGCTAAGCTTGTCTCTACTTTACAAAATCTATTGCTTCTCAATCAGTCACAAGTACAACTGGTCAAGACAAAACGTGGTAAGTTGCCTGTGCCCACAGAATTATGTCCATCTTTTAGTGAAACTGAAAATTCAACGAGTTGTACTAAATCAGGTTTTTCTCAACTTGAAATGGAACTGAAAAGTAGTGCAGAGAGTGAATGAGTAAAGCTAGAGGTACTACAGTTTACTTTTTTTTTTACTTGAAAGTTACTATTGATACAAGGTATATCTGGTATAGGTCTCTTTCCATATGTGTCCTACAAAAAGTGTTCTTTCCCATGTAGCTATTTTTTGTTAAATATAATGAAAGTATATTCTATTCTCTTTACATTATTACAAATACTTTAATAAAATATTTTCCCCATAAATCTTTGAAAATGTTTGAAAACGCAGTTTAAACCAAACATGCTAACATCAGAGTACTGGAAAGTTTTTTTCAACTTCTTTTAATTCTACTTTTTCTAGAAGAACATCGTAACTGCAAAAAATCCCACCAAAATCAAGTGAACCCATTCCTAACAGAACCTCAGGATCACAAGTGGCAAGAGACAGCAACTCATCCCTACAGCGAGGAACCCCCCCCAAACGCTGTAGTACAAATAAAATTACAAAATATAAGAACTCATCCCTACAGCGAGGAACCCCCCCCCAAAACGCTGTTCAGACCATGAGCCATCTGTAGATAACACTGTAGTACAAATAAAATTACAAAATACAAGTACAGTAGTGCCTCGCAGAGCGATCGCTCCGTTTAACGAAGAAATCACTTTGCGATGATGTTTTTGCGATCGTTTAGCAATAGTGCTCCGTTTAACGAAGAAATCACTTTGCGATGATGTTTTTGCGATCGTTTAGCGATAGTCCCTATGAGGAAAAATCGCTTTGCGATCATCGCAAAGCCCCCATTTTCAGCCAGCTGATCGGCAATTCCAAAATGGCCGCCCGCTGTGTTGCCTCACTTTAGAGGCACCGAAAATGGCCGCCCCATGGAGGATTTTTGCTTAAGGTTAGTTTTTAAGCCCATAGAAACACATTCTTGGCATTTTAATGCGTTTCTATAGGCTTTTTAATATCTCTTAGCGATGAAATCGCTTAGCAGCGATTTTTGCTGCACGGATTAACATTGCTAAGCGAGGCACCACTATAGCTAGTTCTACCTCTCTTGTCAGGCACAAAGTCACACTGAACATAAACCAGCTTAATTCATAGTATTCAGGAAACCCACATGGTTGAGAAGAAAGATGTTCATAGTTACCTCTCTTTTAATATTCCAGAAAAGCCCTTGTGAGGGCTTACAAATTTCATTATGCCAACATCTAGCTCCGTCAACCCATGCTTCATCATATCTGCAAAGCTCTCTGGGTCTCCTTCCCCATCACTTTCTTCCAATTCTTCCTCATCCTCTTGGTCTACACTTTCTTCATTCAGACCTATTTCATTCTGAGGGTCTTTAAGCAAATGTTTCATAGACTGTTCTACTGCAGCTTCAACCTTATGGTCAGAATTTTTATTTTCTTCCAGTATTTCTTCTGAGAACTTTGGCCTTTTAATTTCATCTACATTTGATTGACTGTCATCAGAAAGAGGCCGCTTCAGGACAACTTTATCCACCGTTTCCATTTTTAAAGCAAATGGGTGATACAGATTCCTGAAAAAGCTGATAAGACACACAAATGGCAACAAAAAAGTATATCTCATATTTTCATATTATTATGTATTCCCCACAAAATATATACACCTCAATAAAAATGCATGTATTTTCAAATAAAAAGCTGCCAACAGACATTTCAGATAAATGTAATTGTTTACTGTCTGAAAAGGCACAGTGCAGTTTCACCAGGAGATAAGCAGACTCTGTACAGCAAGAGGGACCATTTGTGGCCCTCTTGATATTTGGGAGCTGCAGCCTTCATACTCCTTCAGCATTGACTCTTCTATCTATGGCTGATGAAAACTGCAAGCCCAAAACATCTGGAGGACCACAGCTGCCCACCATAAAGTTGGCATTCCTTTCTGGGGAATATTTCCCCCCACAATTCTTTCAACACTGTGTTGTAAATATTTTTATTTTTATTTGCTTGTTATGAAATTCCCTTATTTTTAGGTCATACCCAAGACAGTCTGTGTGCCTTACTTCTAACAATCTTTTACGTTGAAGGGAAGAGTCTTTACCTTCTGCTACCTCTGAGGAGAATAAACAGATTCCTTGGGAAACTAGAGGAATAGCCACCGACCAAATACTGCCAACTCACTTTTTCTGGAATAGTGTATGACTCTGAAGAGCAGAAGATATGAGACACCATGGAAAACCTTGGTCCTAAAATACAAATGGCAATAAATGATTCACAAATACTCTTCCATAACTGAAGAACCATCTGGAAATACAAACACTTTGCTCACCAACTTTTTTAAAAATATATTTACAATTTTACTTTTTCTGCAAGAGGTTTTTTTTAATCATTCAAGACTGATAATTTAAGCCTTATTTTCAACATCATTATTTATTTTTTCTGGCTCTGGTAAACTATGGGTTACAGAAATTAATATGCTTATACTACTGTGTGGCAGGATGGGGGGGAGGGCCATGCCTGCACAAAAGACTGCAAAGGATGGGGGACACACCTCTGCTGGCTGTCAAAAGCAGGTCTTCTATCACACAAGGAAAGGAACAATTGTCAAAACAAGTACTTTGAATTGGGCCCGGGCAGCAACTGGTAGCCAATGTAACTTATACAGAATCGGCTTGATATGTTCCGTGGCAGCTGCACCACTCACCAGCCGCGCAGCTCGATTCTGGACCAGTTGCAATCGCCGGACCGTCTTCAAAGGCAGCCCCACGTAAAGCGCATTGCAGTAATCTATGCGGGATGTTACCAGTGCATGTGTGACTGTCATGAGACTCCGCTCGTCCAGGTAGGGCCGTAGCTGGTATAATTTCTGCAGCTGAAGGAAGGCGCCCCTGGCCACCGAGTCCACCTGGGCTTCCAGTGTTAGACTGGGGTCCAGGAGCACCCCCAAGCTGCGGACCCTGTCCCTTAGGGGGAGTGTAACCCCATTCAGGGCGGGGAAATGGCCCTCCAGCCTGTCCGGTGAAGCACCCACTAACAGCACTTCCGTCTTGTCTGGATTGAGTTTCAATTTATTAGCCCTCATCCAGTCCATTATCAGGTCCAGACACGAGTTCAGCACAGAAACTGCCTCACCTGGATTGGTGGAAAACGAGAGGTAGAGCTGAGTATCGTCAGCATATTGCTGACTCCTCAGCCCAAACCTCCTGATGACCTCTCCCAGCGGTTTCATGTAGATGTTGAACAGCATGGGGGACAGTATTGAGCCCTGAGGAACCCCATGACATAACTGCCATGGGGCAGAGCAACTGCCCCCCAGCACCACCCTCTGGACACGGTCAGCCAGGAAGGACCGGAACCCCTGTAAAACAGTGCCCCCAACTCCTTTTTCAACATCATTATTTATTTTTTCTGGCTCTGGTAAATTATGGGTTACAGAAATTAATATGCTTATACTACTGTGTGGCAGGATGGGGGGGAGGGCCATGCCTGCACAAAAGACTGCAAAGGATGGGGGACACACCTCTGCTGGCTGTCAAAAGCAGGTCTTCTATCACACAAGGAAAGGAACAATTCTCTTAGATGCACGAAGGGCTTTCTTCACAAGATGGGAAAGAGATCAGCAGAGGTACTTTCGAGAACAGCTGTACTCTGGCACTCCAACAGAACAAAATATACCCCATTAAGCTAACCGCACGTGCTACAAGGTACCAGACAGCACTATCCAACATGAAGGGCGTCCCTCAGGAACACCCCAATTCAGAAACTCAAAAGAAAATTCAAAATCTGATATATACACACACAAAAGCGTACAAGCGGCCCCCAAGTAGCTGGGTAAAAGCGAGTGGGGAATGGGACGGTGTGTGTCACACAACCCCTTCCCCTCCCACTGCAAAAAAGGGGGGGTTTCGGGAGGCGGGGAAGGAAGGTCAGCCGCTTCCATACGGCTTCTCCGGTCATGGAGGAGGAGTTGCTGACGAGGTGTGGGGGGGGGGAGAGAGACAGAGACACCTTCCACACAGGAGTCCGTCTTTCAAATCCAGCCGGGTAGTCCCCTCGAGGCACGGGCGTCACTTACCCCCCAGGCCGGCTCCCTCCCGTCACGAAGAGAAAGGCGGCCGTGGTTGAGAGCCGCATGGAGCCCTCTTCCGCGACCCAAGGACTCCTTCCTTCCTTCCTTCCTTCCTCTCTCTCCCTCCCTTCCTCCGCTTCGCCAGCCCACGTGCCCGGCTTGTTCCACAGCCTGAAAGCCGAGGAGGAGCCGCGGCAAAGGGAGGCGGTTCCCTAAGAGCCGCCCGAAAGCCACGGAGGCGGCGCCGGAGGACGGGGGAAAGGCAGGACGTGGTCGCCTTGCGNAATGGCGGTGCTCTCGGGTGCTGGCCGGACCTGTAGTCAAAAGAGCACCGCGGGCGACCCGGATTCCCCGGTTCTGGGCCGCGTCTGCCCCTCCTTTAATCCTCCGTATCGATTGAAACCCAACAGGTTATTGCCCCCCACCGCCCTTTTTTTGAAAGGTTTGTTTTGGTTTTGTATTCTGGACTGCCACCCTTCGTCGGAACTTGTCTAGGAAAACCGAAAATGAAAGGCTTTTTTTTTTTAAATCGCGGATTTGGGGCAAGGGCAATCTTGCGCTCAATTTGGTCAAACCAGACTTCAGAATCAGGGCTCGAGTTGCAGGGGAGATGAGCGCAAGCCCCGATGGCGACAACGGGGTGGGGCATCATTTGACTAAAATGGGCTTGTGTGTGTGATTTTGACTCGGTTTCTCCTTTTCTCTCCCCATTAGAAGGCTGTCAAAATGTGCTTGCTATCTAGGCAGTAGAAGAAGGAGAGAAAACACCATTAGGGATTGAATTACATCGTTTGTGGCATCTAGCCCAGTGTTTCCTACGCTTTGTCAGCAACTTCCAAAGGTTTTAAGTAAAGTTCTCCCCCCCCCCCCAGCCATGGCGACCTGGAGATGCCACACCTTCATTCATGGTGAATCTTTGTCCTGTGAAACCTGTGCTCCGTTACTGAGCTAAGGTCCCACTGTTAACATTAATGTGGCTCCATCAGTCAGTTGCCAGGCGAGTACTGACTTGGCTGAAAGCATAGGGTGCTTTTTCTTCTGACCCTCCCTCCCTTTAACAGGCTGTTTTTAAAAAAGGATTTTTTTAAAAAAAGGTTTCAGTAGCACTGTTTAAGGGCTTGCCAAATTTGCTCATTTCAACTATTCCTGCTGCCCTTGGTGTGCTTTATGCTGTTTTAGTTACTGTTCTTTTGTTCTTTTTAATATTTACTCTTATCATTTTATTATTGCATTTGTTTTATTTGTTGTCAATCTCCCAGAACTCACTAGGCAGTATAAAACTGGAAAAAATAAACGATTTCCCCAGAGCTGGTTGTATCCATATGCCAGTCCACATTAAACAGGTCCAGCAGAAAAGGTGAGATATAAAAGTACAGTAACTATTGCTACTAATAGTCATACTAATGGCAAAACCGGAGGGACCTGTGGTGCTTTTTTGTCACATTTTGGGTTCTTAATTTCGAAACTGATCCATTATAGACTGATGTAATAGAAATCTACACTGGGCACTTTGGAACTGTCAACATTTCTTAAGAAAAAAAAGTATTGGCAGGCAAGGTTGATACTGGGAAAAACTTATTGCTCCAAAATATGGCCATATTGGCTTGTTGGAGTGGGTCTCTGAGTTGTTTTGTATTGTCAGGCTATAGGCCAGGATTTTAGTGGGCAAAAAGTATGCCAGAAAAAGTAACTCAAAATCCAAGAGGTTGTTCAGCCTAGTTGACAACAAATTTTAAAAAGAATGCTAGACAAAATAAAGCTTCTTTCAGAAGTTTTAAGTCTTTTTCAAGGAGAACAGCAGCAGCAACAACAATGTTATATGACAGCATGATTGAAGAAGAACTAAATGAAGATGAGATTGCAGAAAAGCTTCTGGCTTCACCCAAGCATGAACTGATATTTTCAGGAAGGGAGCATGAGGAACTGATGCTAATGGTAGAACCAATTAAAGTTTCAATATATATAATTAAGTTCTAGACTGTTCAACAAATTAAAAACAAACATCCACCACATCTAGATACTGTCTGAGATTTCTTCAAGAATTCAAATATAAAAATACTAATCTAACAAACTGTGTGTGTGTTAAGGAGCTCTGGAGAACTCAAAACCTTGCACACTACTTGTATTTAATTATACAAATTATAGTAACTGCCAACCTAGCAGTTCGAAAGCATGTAAATGCAAGTAGATAAATAGGTACCACCACAGTGGGAAGGTAACGACCTTCCGTGGTTAGTCGTGCTGGCCATGTGACCACGGAAACTCTACCGACAAATGCTGGCTCTACGGCTTGGAGACAGGGATGAACACTGCGCCCTAGAGTCAGACGCGACTGGACTAAATGTTAAGGGGAGCCTTTACCTTTGCCTAGATTCACCTCCCTCTGTACTGGAAGTCAACAGTCCTGTAGATTTTTAAAAACATAAAGGTATGCATAAGTCATGAGCATGATGGTTTCATTGCAGTACCAAAGATTAGATGGAGGGAAAAACTCTTAAGGGGCATCTGTTCCTGTGCCTTTTAGCAGCTGCCTTATTATTTCCACACTATTAAAAGCTCTGATTGTTGATTTTTGTAGCTTGCGCTGCCATTAAAGGTAAACACAGAGATCAGATTATTTTATTTTCAACTGCCAGTTGTACCATTGGGTATTCCTTCATTGTTACCATTTTGGCATTGTTTTCACTGCATTTTCAGCAGACAAAATGCTTAACTAAAAGCCATTTTCTCTTTAAGAATTCTGTGCAATTTTCAAAACAATGGAGGGAAAACACTTTGTTAATTGTTGTTCAATATACTGTATGAAAGTATAAAGTAGAGGAATACAGAGTAGTCACTGCACCCTGTGTTAAGGGACTTCAAGGCGTGACCCCAGCTGGCAACTTTTATTTTAACTAGCTCACCTTTGAGCTGAAGACAATACTGAATGGTGATCTCACTGTGTAAATGCAGCAGTGTTACTGAATTGAGGTAAACAAAGTGAAGTAGAAGTTTTTTATCTATAAGAAGAAAAAGAAAGCCAGAATCTACAGGTGGCAAAATCTTTATTAATATTAAGTACAATTATGCAGTAGCGTGCAGGGTTTCAGCTTCTCCAGAACTCTTCCTCGGACTAGGTTTTTAAAAATGAGTATATGGTCACCATGGGCATGGGCAATTGATAGCGGGGCTGGCTTTCAGTCTAAGGATCACTATACATTTGCATGGTGGTGATAATTGAAGGGCAGTTAAGGGCAGAAATTATTCTCTCCCCTTTGAACCATCACACAATAAACCTTTTCACCAGCCAGCATGATTGGTCTCATCCACTCACTAAACTAAAACACTGACTTTTAAACTCTCAGCATATACCATGTAGTGCTGAGGCTTTGGCACCATTATATTAATGCAGAGGTAGAAGTATTTTCAAAATATATTTTACCTGTGCCTAGATTTTGGGCAAAACTCTGTGTAGCAGTGGTGCATAGTAAAAGAGATTCATGGAATTAAAAGCTATGGCAGGCCAGACTGTGCTTCTAGGTCATATCTTAAGTGTAATGTTTTGTCTATTAACATGATGCTAGTTTTTGTTCCAAAATGTTCTAGACTTTAATGTTCTAGAATTGAAATTCTGTTTAAACAAAGAACCCAGTGTGGTGTATTTATTTATGTAAAATATTTTTACCCTGCTTTTCTCCTTTAAAAGGACCCAAGGCGGCTTGCAACAATGAAAGACAGTATTTAAAGTTGAAAACAATTAGTATTCAGTGGTGGTTAACATCATTAAAAAACAATGTTTAAAAATACAAACAATGACCGGGGAGACATCTTACAACATTAACAGGCAATATTAAGGCAAAAATAAGTCACTCTGAGAAATGGAAAAAACAAGTAGTACTAAAAATCCAGTCAAAGCGATAATGTACGTATAACTAGCTGATTTACTGAGGGAAGGCTCACCTGAGGAGAAAGGTCTTTGCTTACTTACAGAAGAATAGCAAAGATGGGGCCAGCCTGGCATCCAGTGGGAGGGAGTTCCAAAAGTCTGAGAGCAGCAACAGAGAAGGCTCTCTCCTATGGCCTCATCGGATGCACCTGTGAAGGTGCCGGGACTGCAAGAAAGGCTTCTGATGATCTTCACACGCAGGCTGGCTCATAATGGGAGATACGGTATTTGAAATAGTTTGGATAGTTTTAATTTATTCCCCCTCATCCAGTCCATTACTGATACCAAACATTGATCTAGAGCCAAAGTAGCTTCCTCGTATTTAGGTGGCAAGGAGAGGTAGAGTTGGGTATCATCCAGATACTGGTGACACTGAACCCCAAAACTCTTGGATAATCTATTCCAGTAGTTTTGAAGATGTTAAATAACATAGGAGACAAAACAGAACCCTGAGGGACTCCACAGGCCAGCAGACAGAGTTTTGAACAGGAATCTCCCAGCACTACCTTCTGAGTTCTCTCCTCCAGGAAGGAAGACATATAAAACAGTGTCCCCAAGTCCCATTACAGAAAGATAGATCAGGGGGATACTGTGGTCAATAGTATCGAAAGCCACTAAGAGCTCCAGCAAAACCAGCAGGGACACAGATCCCCTATCCAGGGAGTAGGTGACCTATTCCCATCATAGGTGATCTACCAAGGTGACCAAAGCCATCTCTGCCCCATAACCATTCCTGAAGTCAGATTGAAATGGGTCTAGATACTGTGTCTCATCCAGGAATCTCTGGAGAGACCATAACTTACTCTGGGATCTTCCCCAAGAATGGGATATTAGATACTGGTTGGTAGTTATTCAGTATTGTGGGGTCCAAAGACAGCTTTTTAAACAATGGTCTTCCTATTGCCTCCTTTAAGCACAATGGGATCCCACTCTGTTGCAAGGAGGCATTCACCACTCCTCCTACCCAGTGAGTAGTTGACCAGTTGATTTCTAGCAGCTTTTATAAGTCAGGAAAGACAAGGAGAATGGCACACTAGAGCTTAGCCTGGGTTCCAATCCCCATTCAGCCATGGAATCTCACTGGGAGAGTGGAACTAGTAAAACCACTCCTTAAATATCTCACTTACCTTAAAAGCCCCATCAGGGTCTCTGTAAGTTGGTTCTGACTTGATGTCACATAAGATAGCATGAGCATTCTCTGCAGAGTACTGATAAGGGCAAAAGCTAATGAGCTTAAGTTGCCTGCAGGTTTGCTACAAACACAAATCTCTCAGTGCCCTTAATGTGCATAGAGGCCCTAATGGTGGAGTGGGGATGAGTTG